TCCTCAGCCAGCTTTGCTTTGCTGGCTGAGGAATTCTGGGAGTTGAAGTCCACAAGTCTTAAAGTTGCCAAGGTTGGACACCCCTGCTGTAGTGGATTCTTCTCACATTTGAGTCTGTTGCCTGGCATTGAGTCCCTACTGGATATTTCCTTTGAGTGGAACTCAACTCCTGGTGACTTCATAGGCATAGGCAAGGATAGTTCCTTTGATTATAATACTGCCTTTTAAAATATGTGAAAACGATGTGGGTAAGGGAGAGAGTTTAAATTAATGTAATATGGCTTTGAGGAAGATGCACTGCTCAGGATTGCACGTACATTGAAAAATGGCTCTAAACCAGTTATAATTCTACCAGAAAAGAAATGCAATCAAATTAATGGGAAGTAATCATGTAACTGCACTTAAATTCATTCAACTAAACTTAAATTTAAATTAAATTGACTTGAATTTTTCCTCTGGTCCTAATTCTTTTATTTTATGCTGGGTCCCTTCAGACTTCAAGTAGGTAACTTGAGCTGGCCAATGCAACCCTCAGTCCATAATGAAACTATGCATGCCCTGTTGTAATGGGTAACACTTCTGTGCCACTTAGCTTAATATCTTACTCTGTTAACTGATGTGTCCAGATTAGTTTGTGCATGAATATTGCTTGATTTCTCATCATTTTGTAATGCACAATTGAATGAATTGTGATAAGAGTTGGTTTTGGACAATAAGAACATTCCATCTAGATAATTAAGCTGTGGACAGTGCATTTACAGTTATAAATCAATGCTGCATCCATGACAAATAAGTGTTAACCTCAATAGTAGTGTGAAGAACAGCTATGGATTATAAGCAAGAATGGGTTATAAGCCATTCCTCTCAACAATTCCCATTTCATAAAACAAAACATTACGTAGAAATATCCAATGTAGTAAGAAAAATATGATTGAAAGGCAATTTCAATTCTCAGGGCAATTTTATTTTATGCATTCAAATGTTATTCCATAAATGTATTGAGTGTGGTGTTTCTACTCACTTCTATTTAATCTTTAATTTGGAAAAAAAAAAGTTATGTCAAGTGAAACAGCAGTCAGAATAAAGAATTGCTCTTATGAATGTAGCTGATGCTCCAGTTCAGTTCAGACATCTCATGTTTGTTATCTTAAGAAAATGCACCAATTAAAGTTCTAGACTGGATGCGGCATACATAGAACAGGGTATCCGGGATCTCTGCACATATACATTTTCATCAGCCAACAATCTTTTTCTGTGTAAGCTAAGCCATGTTAGCCACTATTAGTGGCTAATGGATAACAAATAATGTATAGTTCTTTTTTTAAAGGTTGAAGTATCATCACGCCCATATTTTCCCATGGTTGATATCAAAGCATGGAGTGGCTACTTGAATATTTAGCAAGATGTGTTGATGTCTGACTAAATTGCACATCTTTAATAAGCGACATAAGCAGAGTCTGTTTTCGGCTGAATTTGTAATAGCCACAATGGCTGATGCTCAACCAATCTGAAATGCTGCAGAGAAATGCAGGAAATGCAATGGCCACATATCATTTTAAGTATATATTATTTTTGTAAATACATCTTGTACATACTTGGATGTTCCATCACAATCATTTATTGTCTTTATGAGTTATATATCCAATATAACAGTGTAAATAACACAATGTTCCTTATTATTTATATTTAGGTGTTTGGAAGAAAAAAAAAAGAAAGTCATCATTTTATTTTAAGATATATGTCAGATATGTTTGGTTATCCCTTTTCCCCCCTTTCACAATTGTAATGTATCCTTTATTTTTTTTTCTTTAAGAAGAAATAATTTATTGATCCAGAAAGAATGTATTGTAATGGAATTGTACATAGAATGCAGAGTGGAAGGCCATAAGGTACTGATAAACTAAAGATTCTATAATCCCAAATATTAAGCAATAAGCAATTGTTGATTTATTTAAGGTTGTATTGCTCATCTTCAGTAAAAGAGGTGCTGGAATAAATTACTACTGTGTAGTATGGGTGCAATTGCCCTGCAGATTGTTTCAGACCATTAGATCCTCCTGCCCTCTTTTCTATTCTAGTCGGTGACACCTCTGTCAATGACACAGTTCTGATGTCATCTGTTAGTAAAAGTTGGATTCTCTTTGTCAGTATCTCTCTCCCTCCTAGTCTTCTCTGTTCTTATTGCTAGAATGGACAGACCATCCAGTCTGCTACTTGTTGCCTGTGTTCTTAGAGATCACATGTCTAATTGCTGCTAAGCAGTTTAGCATTAACCAGGGTTCAATAAAAAATAATAACAATAAATCCAACGGCATGTCTTACATGTCTTTAATGTTGCTAACGTAAATGGGGCATTAAAGCAATGGATATTTATAACGTTGGGGATGGGAAGGAAAGTAAACATGGGCCAGGCTCATTTTTAGTTCCTTGACAAGAACGAAGAATGGTTAGACTCTTAGGTTCTCATTATTATAATTTAACTTTTGCAATGTGCTTCACAGAAGCAAATGGACTTCCATTTAGTTCACCCTTCTCATTGGCAAGTATAACTATAAGAGCATTTGTTTATCATAATCACATGCACCATCCATGCACAAATGTATGTTTGACACACACATACACACCCAAGAAAAATCTATTACAAAGCATCGGAATAAAAAGAAATCAAACATAAACTTGGAAAATGTTAATCATTAAATTATATATATATCTTAAGCCTGGTTCCAGCATGGAGTATGCAGCTCCCACTTAACTGCTCAGGATACAATTGTCATACATCATTTATATCTCCATTTCACCATTATGTAATCCCATAAATGTCCACACACATCACTGTCAGGAGTTTCATGTATGAAATTTTAACCACTTTTTAAAGGAACATTTCTTGCAAGGTATAATCATTTGTAATAATCATAGAAATATCTGATCTTGCGTCACATTGCAGCAAAATCCAACATGGAAAAAGCTAATTGAACATGTACAAGTTGGCTGGTGTAATACTCTGCTTGATAAAAAGTGGTATATAAGACAGTGTTGTACTGTGCTAGACAAAAGTAGGTGTGGGTGAGCAACACAGCAGACTAGAAAGAACAGCTGTTCTTAGTTTCTGGGTTCCTACACTTAGTATTCCTTTTTAACCAGAGCAAAGACGTTTGCTGCAATCAGATCTAAATTCTTCTGCTCAATCAGGTTTTTTAAAGACGTTTTTTAAATACTGCATGTCTGCTACAAATTGAATGAATGTAAGTTCTTTTACTATTTAGTAGCCTGGAAGAAGGACAAGGAATACGACTTGGGTACTCTTAGTATGTGCTATTGCCAAGGACTTTTTTTAATTGGCATCGTATGCTGCTTATGTGCACTGACTTTGTAGTGGTACATAACAGCAGTGAAAATTTCAGCCCAAGACAGCTGGAAGACATCCAGTTGGGGAGGGGTTATTGCACACATAGAGGTTGTAGCCTATTTTCCCCAAATTCAGATTAAAACAAAAAACAACCCTCAGGCTCCTCCTCCCACCTCTTATGTCCATTGTGCACCCCACATAATTAGTGAATAATTCTAGGAACAACCTCTAAGGGCAGTTTAATAATTCTTGGTTCTACCAAAAGAATAAAGCTATAGATGCTTGGATAAATTGAGGCCTGTCCTTGGAGGAAAAAAAAATCAAAACCCAATCTGCTGTTGTAAGCTAAACTGAAGATGATCTTCCCATTTCTGTGTCTGGCACTTTCCCAATTATTATCTTCATGAAATGGAGAATAGTGTAACAAAACTGCCTCATGTTTCCCCCAAATCATCTCCATCAGCACAATAAGGTTAGGAAGAGGAGGGAGAACTTGCTTGGTATGGCTTTCTAGCCCAAAAGAAGACTCCATCTCCAGAATATTCATAAGCCAGACTGCAGTCTTTTTTCCCCCTAAAACAATGGAAAACTGGCTTACCCATGGAAGTGCAGCCTGACTTGAACAGCCATTTATTCACACTTCAAGTTTATAAACAAATACACCTTGAGATATGAAGAAAAAGGGGCACTCCCATGGTGAGGATGTCTCAGTTCTTCATAGGAACAGCACTAGTAAGATTTTGCTACTACAGTTTGGCCATTTTAATCAGCACCAACAGAAACAGATCTATATAAACACCACCAACAAATCTTGAACTTGTCTTATTCATGAAATACCTCTTATCTTAAAAGACCACAGGTGCTACAATGTTCTGCTAATTGTGTTGATACAAAGACTGATTATCAGAAAGGATTTTTTTTAATGCAAAATTCTAATTGCATTTACAGCAATTTGGTATATAGATCAGCTTCTAAGAGATGAAAGAAGAGAACCTGAAGATTGAGCAAATGAGGGCACAACCCATCCGTGGACTTTCAATAGTCCATATTTAGCGTTATTACTGGGGGGTTTCCCTCAAAGTTCCTGTGCATTTGATAAAAGTGGAAAAAAATTTCCTAAATGTTTGTGAAAGATTCACTTTCAAATAAATGTGCATACAGACTATCTTATTCCACCATAAGATATACCAATAAGTGTCATAAAAACCAGGCCCAGGCCATTTTAAATCCATGAGATTCATTTTCCCACCCACCCCCACCCCAAGAAGTTTGGCTTTATGAGTCATAGGGATATATGTTAGCAATACATATGTTAGCAATACATATGTTAGCAATACATATGTTAGCAAGAGTGACAGAGCCTGAATGGATGAGGTCTTTTTTTTACTACTATAATATTATCAATAGAAAGATTGTAGCAAGTAGATGTTTTATGCCTCCCAATACAATTTAAATTACCCTTTAGAAAGAAAAAATGTTTTGTAGATTTTTTTTTCTATTATCAAAAAATTCTAGAGATTTAGAAGCTACTCAAACTTAAGCTGGTGATTACATGCAATCAGAGGGCACCATTCCAATTTAGTTTTTGTTAAAATTCTAATCAAATCTCAGGTATAATTCTTGAGATCTGACATTCCTGAGGTGGTTTTTTTGTTAAAATTCTAATCAAATCTCAGGTATAATTCTTGAGATCTGACATTCCTGAGGTGGTTCTTCTTGGAAATATCTTAGGTGCATCCTGTACTTCAACTGACAGCTCTCGTTTCTCTATTCCACGTTCACCAACTGTACTTTTTCCTTTCTGATTAAACTATTTCACAGAAAGCATCTCCAGACTTATAATCACAGTATCTAGCATCACCCCTCCACCCCTCAATGTATTAGTGTTATCAGTAAGTAGGAATAGATATGTCTGGGAAACAATTCCAGTTACTAGACAAGAAAGGAGAAAGCTCTACTGCATCTCTTAAATTCTCTCAGTCAATAAGGCAACAGGGTAGTACAGGGAGAAATCTCTATTTTCCATTTTAAGCAATAGGGTTAATATCTCTTGAAATACACTTCTTGAGAAATTGGCCCTGACAAGAGCATAAAGCCATACAATCCAAATGAGAACTGAATGAATGTAAGTAATTTGCTATTTCTATTCAGAGGAGCAGAATAGCAAGGCGGGGGGTGGGGGGTGGGGCGCGAATGGGACGGCTTGAGGGAAGATTGCATTTTCTCTGAGGAAAAGGAGTTCCTTCCATAGATACCACTAAAAATATGGTGAGGGTCCCAAAAATTGACCTAACACCCTTTCTCAGCTTTATCCTAATGAGAAGAAATGGGATAGATATGATAATATTATAGAGGGCTCAAGAAGGCTTCTAGGATGAATTTTTGCAACAGAAAAAATAGTGAACTCCATGTTGATTTATCTATCAACTTTGACAGTTCTGATATCCTAGGTTTGCTATCTGCCCTTCTACTTCCTGAAAACAGGAAGTCTCCTGTTTCCTTGTCTCTGGGGAATTTAAATTTACTTTTAAGCCAAAGGGGGCATAGTTTTTCTGAGACCAAAGGCCGCATTTGGCATTTAAGACCTGTGCCAGGTCGCATTTGGCATTTAAGGCTGCATCCAAGAAGGAAGTGGAGACAAATTAAAGAAATGAATGGAGCCAATGCAAATACTGCCTTCAATTAAATTATATTAAAACTGAAGTTCAATCAAAGTTACATAAAATACATGTAGACAATAAGTGTATCCCCTGTTGTGTCTTTTCTGCCTTGTTTCCAGAGTGCAGAGTAGGTTTCTGTGGGAGCTTGCAAGATTTGCAATGTATTTTGGTAACCCCAGTCATACAACAACACAAGGTCATTACACCCCTCTTCACCAGAATACAAATCCATATTATATTTATAAATGTGGATTTTGTTGTAGGATTCTTATACTAAGTATGATAGTGCCCATCAGTGATCATGAGCATGCACTCTGTGTCTATTTTGAAGATAGGTATTGCTGATGGTAACTAAGGAATTATAGTTTGGGGTTCTGATATTCAATCCTAATCTTTTACCTGCACCATCGTTCTTCTCAGCTAGTCAGTGTGTCAACTCCAAATATTACCAGAAACAATCTCAAAGATATAAGTAACTGCTCCAGTTATTTCTTTGACCTTTTCTATTGTCCAGTGTCCACCCCAGTCTCTTGATAGTAGGTTGCCCTACAGATAACTGTTATATTTCAGCCTATGGCTGTTCATGGTGTTTTAGTCATTTTAAATAAGGTTT